AAAAAAAAAAAAAAAAAAAAAAAAAAAAAAAAGAAGATGTGTCAATTTGAGTTCAAAATTTATTTTCAGTTACTCCCAGCATCCATAATGAGGAAGATTGTTTATCAAAACAGCGTAAACACATTTCGTGGATCACTGATTTCGTCTCGACGCCAGTCACAGTATAGTGACCTCAGGAGACCGAGCATAGCCTCAGAAAAGATTCCTCTGAAACTGACACAGTCGCTGAACAGTTCACAGCTGGCGATAATCAACGAAAATGAAGGACGATAGATAAATTACGACAGATTTATATGACATAATAAAAGAAAACAAAGTTTCAGTTCTGACTAACTGTTGAATATTTCACATTCTTGAAACTATTATCATATAATTTGTAATATATGTATATTTGAGCAAAGAATTCGTGTTCTACTGTAATAATAAAATTTATGCTGCGTAACTTTTTTTGTCTTCACAATGCCAGGTAACGTAATTTGTAATTTTTGGGCATCCATAATGCGCTTTTTCGTCCAAGAACCCTTTGATTAGTTTATCTCCAGCCCTTATTCCCTTTTTTTTTTATTACCGGTAACCCAAAATTTCCAACTCCTTCTTTTTCCGCCTCAGAAAATTGACTGAAAACCGAGCAAAAAGAGGTTTCTTAGTAGAAATTCTTTTCACTTTCAAAAAACACAATCTTCGGATGAAAAGAAGTTAAGCGCATGGCCGCCGTTGATGTCTACCAGTTTACTCCCGTGATTTCAATGACGAACCCAATTAAATCGCTGATTAACCTTGTTTTACTCTAACGTACTCAATTTGACAGGTGCATTTTTTGCCTACGACTTGCCTTCATTCTTAACTTTCAAATTTTCAAATGTTTTAAATTTACTTAGTCAGCCCTCACAAAATTTAATGCACGAGTCTTTTTGTCCATTCCTTAATGGCTTATCTAAAAACAAGTCCTGGACAAGAAGGTTATGCTCTAGAATTGACGTGCAAAAATGCATATGAGCAAAAAAAGTTGACGCTTGGCCCTGAAGAGCACTTAATGATCTCTAACCGGAATGAGCATCTTGAAAGGACTAAAATTTTTTGCAACTGCACCAAGGTCATCCAAAAACATTGACTAACATGAAAAACCATTGAAACTTGAAAAAACCGTTAGGGCAATCTCTATAGGACAGGCAATTTTCTTAGGAAACTTTAATGACTGCAAATCTGTCCAAGAATGGTCTTTTTGTATACACAATAACAGTTGAAGAATCATAACACATTATGTCCATGTGAAGTTTCAAGCTCATAAAGTTGAAGTTGTTCAAGCACGCATTTTGCTTAAGCGAGGTCTTCTGCGATAAAATGGACAAGAAGCAACGTCACAAACTGTTTGGCGGCTGCTCAGGTTGCTGCTTGCAGTTTTAGATACGTATCTGAAGAAAGACAGAAGGGGCAACGTGGAAGAGCACTAAAGAGGCTCAGTCAACAAAGGGGAGAGGACGATAAATTTTACAATTCACGTATGCAACGGCCTT